CTACATATTTCCAATGCATTGGCAAGGAATTTGAGCCCTATCTCCAAGACATAACACAAATCTTTGTATTTATATCTCCATTATTGTGATACTAATCCAAACCTTAACATCTTACATCAGTCTTCTGACTTCCATTCTTCTTCCTCTATATTCCATTTCTCACCCAGAAGTTGGCCTGATCTTTTAAAAATAAAATCAGATAACATGGAAGACTACTGGTCAAGATTGATTGTGAAGTATGTAAATAGCTTGCCTCCTCTCAAGACCCCATCAAAATTACAACTAAATTATACAACAGCTACCTTTGAGAACCACCTGAAGACTAGTTGAACAGAACTCCTATAACTAAGGATATAAAGAAGAAACCACTTAAAGACTATTACGAGAGGCAGAGATGTGAAATGAGCTGGTCCCATACTCACATGTGGTGGTTAAGAATTAGGAGGAATATCTCAGTTGCATAGCTCCACCCTGAGGAGTGAAGAGTCCATGTCTAACACTGGGCTTCCCAGCTCAGAGCACCAGTGCTAAGAAGAATTCCCACAGTATTCAGCAGGGACTCACTCTGGGTGAGAGGGAAGGCTGCTATAGACCCAGGCATTCTCTTAAAAGCCCTGAAGGACACAGATTCACCCACTCATAATCACTCACCCTAAGCTCCTGATAAGGGCTGAAAAAGCACCAGGGACATCTGGGTAGGCACTAAATTGTCTGGCTTCTGGATTAGGGTTGGAGGGGAAGCTCTCTCTAGGACTAAAGTGCCTGAAAATGCTACTGTTCCTTTGTTGAACTTTCCCACACACACAGGCTACAAGCAAAAGTGGGCACCAAATCTAAGTCTCCCTTAACCTGGCTAACACAGTTCTAGCACCACCCTGGTGATTCTCTGAGACCCTGCAACACTCATTTCATGTGCTCGACCTGAGACACATTTGAAGGCTAATCCACACATGCATCTGGCCTGGGCTAGCACTGCAAACTTTTCTAAAATCTCTCAAAGATCCAACAAACCCCAAACAAGCAGCACCTGGCCTCAGCATGCCCTATACATCTTGCTAAGTGGCCACTAGCCCAGCTCTAGTGGCAGTCAGCATCAGTTCACAGCAGAGCTTCTCCTCAGCACCTCTAAGTCCAGCACAGGCAGCTACCAACCATCGATCACTTGGTAGATCCTACCAGGTAGCCCTGGGCTGGACACAGGCAGTGGCTGAACTGAGCTTGCACTGCAGTCCCTTCCAAAAATCCCAGAACCAGCATATCTGGTAGCTGGCTTCAGACTGCACCATGACACCACCCAATATGTGCTACAAGTGACACAACAAAAAGGTGGGCTGGGCAAGAACCAGAGGCTGACTAAAGCTATTCTCACTCCTTGGTTTAAGTCCCTGCACAACAATTAATCTGCTATAATCACAGCCAATCCTCATGGCCAGTCAGCCTGAGGGTCAATCCCACCCACTGATATGTCAACAACAATCAAGGCTCAATAACAACAGGAGAGCACAAGCAACATACACATGGTTCACACCTGGAGCACCTGGCTCAAGTGAACAGGGAGATTATACCACTGGACCCCAAAAGACACTTACTACATAAGGCCACTCTACCAAGATTGGGAGATATACCAGATCTACCTAACACACAGAAACAAACACAAGGAAGTGGCCAAACTAGGGGACAAGGAAACATGTCCTAAATGAAATAACAAAACAAAACTCCAGAAAAAGAATTAGAAAAATTGGAGGCAAGCAATCTACCAGATGCACAGTTCAAAACACTGGTTATAAGGATGCTCAATGAGCTTGGGTGATGAAGAGATACTCTTAGTGAGAACTTCAACAGAGATGGAAACCATAAAAATGGAGATAGGAATCATAAAAAAGGAGATAGAAAACATAAAAAAAAAAAAACAGTCAGAAATGTAGAATATAATACTGAAATGAAGAATGTATTAGATAGATATGACAACAGAATAGATAAAACAGAAGACCAAATCAGTAATTTGGAAGACAATTTAGCAGAAAATATCCAATCTAAACAGCATAAAGAAAAAAAGAATAAAAAAAAAAAAATGAGATAGTTCAAGGGACATCTGAGGCAATATGAAGTGTAACAACATTCGCACAACAGTGGTACCAGAAGGAGAAGAGAAAGAGCAGGGGATTAAAAAATTATTTGAAGAAGCAATAATAAAAAATTCCCTAACCCAGTGAAGAAAAAAAGACACATATCCAGGAAGCATAGAGAGTCCCAAACAAGATGAACCCAAAGAGGCCCCAAGACACATCACAATTGTAATGTAAGTTAAAGGCAGAGAGAATCTTAAAAGTGGTAAGTGGGAAGCAGTTGGTTACCTAAAAGGGAGCTCCCATAAGACTGTCAGATGACTTCTCAACAGAAACATTACAGGCCAGTGGGGGACTGGAATGAAATATTCAAAGTAATGAAAAGCAAAGACCTACCACCAAGACTACTCTACCCAGCAAGGCTAGCATTGAGAATCAAAGGAAAGATAGAGAGCTTTCCAGACAAGAAAAAGTTGAAGGAGTTTATCACCACCAAACCAGTATTATAATAAATGTTGGAAGGACTTAAGATGAAGCCCAGCTGGTGTGACTCAGTGGATTGAGCATTGTCCCATGTACCAAGAGGATGCTGGTACAATTACCAGTCAGGGGACATGCCTAGGTTGCAGGCTCAATTCCCAGTAGAGGGCATGCAGGAGGCAGCCAATCGATGTCCTCTCATCAATGTTTCTATCTCTCTCCCCTCTCCCTTCCTCTCTCTCTAAAAAAAATTTAAAAGAAAAAGAGCCCTGACCAATTTGGCTCAGCAGTCAAAGCTTCGGCCTACAGACAGGAGCGTCCTGGGTTCAGTTCCTGCTTAGGGCACGTACCTCTGTTACAGTTTGTCCCCAGCCCCAGTTGGGGTCGTGTGTGTGGCAACCACTCAGTGTGTCTCTCTCACATCAATGTTTCCCTCTCTCACTTCCTCCTTCTCTCCCTACCACTCTGTCTGAAGATAAATGCAAAAAAAAAAAAAAGTGTCCTCTGGAGAGGATAAAAAATAAAAATAAAATAAATAAAAAGAATCTGAAGACAATATCACAAAGAAAACGTTCTCACTGAGTATGGTAAACATAATAAAATCAGTGAATCAACAAACACTAAAACTTTTACAAACGTTAAAAGGCAAAAGTAGAAAGATCACGTGTAGTAAATTAAGGGATACACACACACACACACAAATTTAGTGACAAAAACATAAACATGGTAGGGGTGAATAAAAACAGTAATGATTTTAGAAAGTGTTTGAACTTAAGCAACTGTCAACTTAAAATGGACTGCTATAGACATAACTTGGTATATATGAAGTGCATGGTAATCACAAACCAAAAATCTACAAGAGATATACAAGAGAAAGGAGTTCAAACACAACACTACAGACAGTCATTAATGTACAAGAGAACAAGATAAGAGAGGAACAGAGAAGAACTACAAAAACAATAGAAAGGTAATCGATAAAATGGCAATAACTACATACCTATTAATATTTAATTTAAATGTAAATGAATTAAATAGTCCAATCAAAAGACGAATGGATAAAGAAGAGAGAGTACATATATAAGGTGGAATATCACTCGACCATAAAAAAGAATGAAATCTTACCATTTGTGACAACATGGATGGACCTAGAGGGTAATGTGCTAAGTGAAATAAGTCAGACAGAGAAAGACAAATACCATATGATTTCACTTCAATGTGGTATCTAAAAAACAAAATAAATGAACAAACAAAACATAAATAAACTCATAGATACAGAGAATAATCTGATGGTTGCCAGATGGGATGGGGATTGTGGGAATGGGTGAAAAAGGTAAAGGGATTAAGAAACAGAAATTGGCGGCTACAAAACAGTCATGGGGATGTAAAGTACAGCTTAGGTAATATAGTCAATAATCTTCTAATCTATGCATGGTGTCAAGTGGGTGCAAGACTTGCGGGGATCACTTCATGAGTTATATAAATGTCTAACAACTGTGCTGTATAAAACTAAAATAATATTAAATGTCAACTGTAATTGAACAATTTAAAACATTTTTAAAATCAGATCATGTCATCCTCCTGCTTTCCACCGCACTTGTAATAAAACTCAAACTTATTATCATGTTCCTCAAAGTTCTACATAATCTGCCCCCCTGCCTACTTATTGTACCTTAGTTTCTAGTACTCCTTCCCTTTTCACCTTATTGTAGTCACACAATGATATTTGTTCCCTGAAACTTTTTAAGGCAGTTACTACCTCAGGATTTTTACAGCTACTGATTCTTCTCTGTGTTGGCACCTTATAATTACTGTAGGTCTCTATCAAAAGACAGGTTTATCAGAGAGACCTTCCCTGACCACCCTGAATTTCCTGCTCCCACCAGCCATTAGCAAAGAGTCTATTTTATCATCTCCATGACATCTGTCTACTGTCTATTTCCCCTAATGTTTCCCAAGCACAGTGCTTGGCACATAGTAGGCACTTATTAAATGCTACTTAGTTAATAAGTTCATTGAACCTGAATCTGCCAGATTAATTATAATGACTAACTTTTTTTTAGAGACAAAATCTGTGAGTGCTATATTAGGAGAATACTAAGTGATCAATGAGGGTGGAGAGCTGCCTCAAATTTCTCCTGTGACAGAAGCCTTCTTTTATTCACCTGCCAAAATGATCCCTTCTCTTACTATGACCCAACAACCAGCCTCTGTATACCTTCTTTATATTACATCAAAACTACTTGTAAATAACTCTTCCAGGTGTGTTCGGATCTCCCCTCATCTTCTGAAATGCAGGAGCTGATCCTTTCTCATACACATATCCTAGCACAACCCTCTGCACACACTGCGTGCTTTAGCAATGCCGTCTAGTGGCTGAAAGACCAAAGGGGATGTAGCCTTTCAAAGAAAGTCCACATTGCCACAATGTGGGAGGGGCATACACAACATACTCACCCGTAGGGTCTGAGCCCTGAGGATACAAACAGTCCCCACTATATAAAACCGATCCTCCAAAGGAAGCTGAGTGGTAGATGATTCAATGTAGTTTGGGCTGGGGAAGAAGCGACTCAAAAGCACCACAGGCTCTAAGGGAGACAGAGACACACATGTGACAATCTAATAGAAAGGAAGGCCAGCTGCACAACAAGATGGATACCTGCCACATAAGTGTGTGTTTGCTAGGCCATCAACTACTTTCAGATTTCTGAGCCATGAATGTTTCCTGTCTTCCTTCCATTCTAGTCACCCTCCCCACCATGGTGTCTATCAAAACATGAAAAGTCATTACTGAGAAATAATTATTGTGAGTTCAGGGCAATTTTCATTCCTATGTTCTTACCCTTTCAACAATGTTTTAGTTTCCAAAAGAAATTTAGCTCCTTTCTGTTATATAGACCACATGGATATTAAATGTGTGCATGTTGTGTGCGTATGTAGTTAAGCAAGATTTCTTTTTTTCAAAAGGTATCTGACTTTTAGTTTCCAAGACACACAAAAATATATCAGTCATTGTGTGAGCTCATTTTTATTGTTTACTTATTCATTCATTCTATTCGTTTGTTATGTTTTAAGACCTTAGTGTCAAAGAACTGAGTTACTTATACTCATAGTTCGTGGCATATTATGAGCACAGGTAAAGTCTCTGCCTTTTTTTCTTCTCTTCCCCTCCCCCACCTAGACACCCACTGTCATCTGACACCTTTAATATATATCCTTGTGAAATATGCAGTTTGGTTTTATGTATATGTGTTTACAATTTACAAAAGTGGCATTGTGCTATAGAACTCATTCTGTTTCTTACTTTTTTCAATCAATTATACGGTTTTAAGATCTAATTATATTGTAGTATGTATGTCTTGAGTTCATAGCTTTCTTTTAGTTTATTGCGTTTAAATATTACAAAGTTTTCCATGTTGTATACATTTCCAAAAATTTACTTGTCCATTTCCCTAATGATGCACACCTAGGCTGTTTCCAACTCTCTCCTACCACAAACTATGTTATGGCATACATAGCACATGTGCCCTTAGACAAAGATCTCTCTGAAATTTTGTCTCCGGAATATTTCCACCTAGTTATGAGAATGCTGAGTACTAGGATAATCAACATAACTCAAATTCACTCTGTTTCTCAGGATGACTTATGGGATTACATTTCCTCAAGTGTATTATTTTCATTTCTCACATTCTCATCAATATTTGGTAATATTCACATTTCTAATTGTTATCATTCTGATGGGTGTACAGTGCTTCCGCATTGGTTTCTAAATTTTTCATTATTTGCCTAATAGTGAGTTCAAGCATCTTTTCACATATTTATTGGACTATTTATCCTGATTCAAACTCTACATGTTTTAATAGCCCCGAATCAGTGTTTATGTTAATCTGTCACCTTGCAGCTCCTAAAAACTTAAAAACTATAAATCTAAACCCCATATTCACAGGACACAGATCTGGGTTTTGATATCCTGTAAATGACACATTTTTTTTTCCCATTCAAATTCTGAGAAATGACAACCTTACTTTTCCTCTAGAAGAGAAGAAAGAGTTAACTGACTTATTAAGTCTCTAGGTTTTATGTGTGGGTTCTTGAATGAGTATTAGAACTCCTGACCTCAACCAATGAAACCTATGTATTATTTACAACCCACCTAAGCCACCACATAATAATCTTCCTCTTATCACTGTGGTTCTGTGCTTTATCCTTTAATTTCAGACACCCATGAACTTCCCTTTCTTTCACGCTTGACTATACATTAAACTTCTTTTATTATTTTATAAAAACAATTTCCTTGTTTTTGCATAAGAACCAACCTTAAGATCTCAGTCCACCATATTACCATATGACACCACCTTGTAAATGTCACTATCAATATTTTTAGGTATACCTAATGTCTGTAACCAAAACATGTGTTCAAATGGCTATCAGAGACTTTCGGAGTACTGGCAGCAGAAGGACATTATGTTAACAACAAAGGGCTACATACCCCATGAACTTTATCTAGATCAAATTAAAAACTGAAGAACGGACAGTATGACTCAGTGGTTGAATGTTGAGCCATGCACCACGAAGTAACAAGTTCATTCCCAGTGAGGGCACATGCCCAAGTTCTGGGTCTGATCCCCAGTAAGGGGCATGTAGGAGGCGGCCAATCAATGTTCTCTCTCATCAACATTTCTATCTCTCTCTTGCTCTCCCTTTCTCTGTCTCTCTCTCTGAAATCAATAAAGAAAATTTTTATTTCATTTAATTATGTAAATTTTATTATAAAACATATATATTTTTAAAATGTATTTCTTTATTTATTTTTGTTAAACATGTTTCTCCTTTTCCCTTCACTGATTCCCCCTTCCCTCCCGCCCTGCCCGGTCCCCAGCTTTGTTGTCCAAGCACATTGTTCACGTATACATGCATATAAGTTCTGTGGTTTATCTCTCTCCCACCACCCCCTCTTCTGGGGATTGTCAGTCTGTATCCGACTTCCACGTCTCTGGGATTACCTCATTCCTCAGACTGTTATGTTCATTACATTCCACAAATAAGTGAGATCATATGATACTTCTCTTTCTCTGTTTGGCTTGTTTTGTTTAGGATAATACTTTCCAGGTCCCTCCATGTAGTCTCAAAGGAAAAGAGATCTTTCTTTCTTACAGCTGCATAGTACTCCATTGTGTATATGTACCACAGCTTTTTTTATCCATTCATCTACTGATGTACATTTGGGCTGTTTCCAGATCTTAGCTATTGTAAATAGTGTTGCTACAAACATGGGGGTACATATATTCTTTCTGATTGGTGTTTCTGGCTACTTAGGGTATATTTTAGAAGTGGGATCACTGGGTCAAATAGCAGTTCAATTTTTAATTTTTTGAGGTAACACCATATTGTTTTCATAGTGGCTGCACCAGTCTGTATTCCCACCAGCAGTGTACTAGAGTCCCCTTTTCTCCACACCTTCGCCAACACTTGTTTGATGACTTCTTGATGGTGGCCATTCTGACAGGTGTGAGGTGATACCTCATTGTTGTTTTAATTTGCATCACTCTGATGATTAGTGATGATGAACATTTCTTCATATGTCTCTTAGCCATTTGTATGTCCTGTTTGGAGAGGTGTCTATTTAGTTCCTCTGCCCATTTTTTAAATTAGGTTCTTTGTCTTCCTTTTGTTGAGCTGTATTGACACTCTAGATATATTGGAAATTAACCCCTTATCTGATATATCATTGGCAATTATGCTCTCCCATACAGTGGGTAGCCTTTCTGTTTTGATGATTGTATCTTTCGCTGTACAGAAGCTTTTGAGTTTGATGTAGTTCCATGTGTTGATTTTCTCTTGTGTTTCTATTGCCTTAGGTGATACATCAGTGAAAATTCTGCTGCGTATGATGTCTAAAATTTTGTTGCCTACAGTTTCCTCTAGGATTTTTATGGATTCATGAGTCACATTAATATCTTTTATCCATTTTGAGTTTATTCTTGTGTAGGGTGTAAGTTGATGGTCTAGTTTCATTTTTTTGCTCGTAGCTGTCCAATTTACCCAGCAACATTTATTAAAGAGGTTGTCCTGACTCCACTGTATGCTCTTGCCATCTTTGTCAAATACTAATTGAGCATATTGCCTTGGGTCCATTTCTGGGTTCTGTGTTCTGTTCCACTGGTCTATATGCCTGTTCTTGTACCAGTACCAGGCTGATTTGTTTACAGTGGCATTGTAGTATAACCTGAAATCTGATAACGTAATCCCTCGAACGTTGTTCTTCTTTTTCAAGATTGCGATGGCTATTTGAGGTCTTTTTTGGTTCCATATGAAGTTTTGAAGTATTTGTTCTAATTCTGTGAAGTATGTCATTGGTATTTTGATGGGGATTGCATTGAATCTATAGATTGCTTTGGGTAGTATGGACATTTTCATGATGTTAATTCTTCCAATCCATGAACAGGGTAAGTGCTTTCACTTTTTTATATCTTCTTCTATTTCTTTTTTTCCATGACCTGTAGTTTTCTGCAAATAGATCCTTTATTTCATTGGTCAAGTTTATTCCTAGTTATATTAATTTTTTTGCCTCAATGGTAAATGAGATTGTTTTCTTAGTTTCTCTTTCTGTAAGCTCATCATTGGGGTATAAGCATGCCATCAAACTCTTGACGTTAATTTTGTATCCTGCTACTTTTCCAAATTCATTTATTAACTCTAGTATATTTTTGATGCAGTCCTTGGGTATTTCTACGTATAGTATCATGTCATCTGCAAATAACAACAGTTTCACTTCCTCCTTTCCAATTTGGATCCCTTTTATTTTTTCTTCCTGTCTGATTGCTGTGGCTAAGACTTCCAGTCCTGCGTTAAATAAGAGTGGCGAAAGTGGGCGTCCTTGTCCTGTTCCTGTTCGTAAGGGAAATGCTGTTAGTTTTTGCCCATTGACTATGATGTTGGCTGTAGTTCTTTCATATATGGCCTTCATTATGTCAAGATATGATCCCTCTATCCCACAATCCTGAGCGTTTTTATCAGAAATGGATGCTGGATTTTGTCGAAGGCTTTTTCGGCATCTATTGATATGATCATGTGGTTTTCATCGTTCATTTTGTTTATGTGGTGTATCACGCTTATTGATTTGCAAATATTGTACCAGCCTTGCATCACTGGGATGAATCGCACTTGGTCATGGTGCAGAATTTTTATGGTGTATTGCTGAATCTGATTTGGTAGTATTTTGTAAAGAATTTTGGCGTCTATGTTCATCAGGGATATTGGCCTGCAGTTTTCTTTTTTGTAGTATCTTTTTCTGGTTTTGGAATTAGAATTATGCTGGCTTCATAAACCGAGTTTGGAAGTCTTCATTCTTCTTGAATGTTTTGAAATAGTTTGAGAAGAATGGGTGATAGTTCTTTGAATATTCGGTAAAACTCCCCCGTGAAGCCATCCAGGCCTGGGCTTTTGTTTGCTGGGAGAGTCTTGATTACATCTTCAATTTTCCTTGTTATTGGTCTGTCCAAGTGTTCTATCTCTTCCTGGTCCAGTTGTGGGAGACTGTGTTTCTAAAAATTTGTCTATTTCGCTTAGATTGTCGAATTTGTTGCCTCTCTCTCCCTCCCACTTTATCTGAACAAGAAATGAAAAAATGTCCCCAGGTGAGGATAAAAAAAAAAACACAAAAATTAATTGCTTACCATCAGAAATATCTTTTATAGTCAGGATAAATTTTGCATATTCGTAAGTAAGGTTACCACCACTTTGAAGATTTCCTCTTTTCAAATGACAGCAAAATTCCATATGTTTTTCTATTAAAAATAACGGATATAAAAAAAGGCTACATTTGTACTTTACCATATTCTTTGAGATTATTTCATATAACTACCATCTTAGACTAGATTTTACAAAAATATTATTTTCTTTCCATGAACATTAGCACTTGCATAGTTATCTATGTTGTATCTGTAGAATGTGTTAACAGCTAGAACAGTATTTATATAATACTAATGCAATTATATAGAAGCCAAAACAGTTAGAGTCTATGATAAAGAACAAGATTTCATGTATAAGAGACTTGTAAACACTAGAAATATAATCTGTAAAATTATATTAATTCAAATTAACATATAATCAGCAGCTATATTGGCTCTAATGTCTTTATTTTTATTACTCTTCTTAGTGTTACCTGTTTCTTAAAAATCTAATAATTTACCATTTGAAAAAAATCTGTACCTGAGTTTGACACAGGAAATTTAAGACAAATCTTTTGGAAGACTTCTCTTTTCTCTTGATCAGGCAAAAGGCTCAGTAATTTTTTACCCACAATCTCATCCTCAAGAAAGAAAGAGAGAGATAATAAGTTTTGTTGTATGTGCTATTACTATTCATTTTATCTCCTCGCCCTCAGTAAGCTTATCATTTGTTCCCCTCAGCCATCATACGGTTATACCTGTTATACCTCTTAAAGTACTAATTCATATTACCCTACTCTGTGACTATCACCTCCTACCATTCTAGTGCACTCATGCAAGTACCACACCTCTCCAACAACTATGCCATCAACTGAGCATTCCAGTCCATTCCTATCATATTTTCACTGTGCATTATTTCCTTCAAATTGTCACATCCCTCCCTACCCAGCTCAGATTTCATCATCAATTACTATAATCAGTCCTATGTGCTCTTTCTCTGTGACATATTTGCCTGGAAAAATCCCAACTCTATTTAATTACAACTCTTCATCTCCCCTACACCTTCACCTAAGAAGCTGATGTGTATGGAGAAAAACCCACAAACGTGTTGTATATTATTTATAAATGGGGACTTAGCTCTGTCTTGAAATCATTATACATTTTCCTAGACAATTAACTCTGCGTGGTAATGATTTCTTGCCTTTTTCTTCTTTATTCCAACCTCAAACCTCATATCCAGCTGGGGATCTCATTTCTTATTTCAGTGAAAAACAAAGTGGGAAGGCAATGTCATTATCACCTTGCTACTAAATATACAAATTTATCTGTTCCTGTAGGTGAGACCTGCTTTTCCTCCCATTTCAATGAATAAGGTTTTACTTAAATCTAGTGGAGTGCCTCTCATACTCTCTTGATTATTCAAGAACATCATTTCAGAAAATTTCCATCACATCCACATCATCTCTCAACTCTCTCTAATGGGTCTTCCCCGTAGTATGCAAATGCTATATCAGGGATGCTGTAATACTATCTGTTATCTGAAAAACAACACAAAATCCAAAAATCCAAAACCTTCCTTGATACTACATCTTCTCATCCAGCTCTAACTATTTCTCTGGTCCACTTTAGAACAAAAATCCTTGAAAAGAACTATACTTGTGGCTTCTCATTTCTTCACCTCTCACTTTCCCTTGAAACCACCCTAATCAGATTTTTATACTAATCACGACACTTTTTTAAAGGTCACCAATGACCTGTACATTGCCAAATCCAATAGTCAATTCTATACTGTCATCTTAACTAACATCTCAGTATTTGGTGTAATCAATTCTTATGTCTTCCTTGAAACACTTTACTTGGCTTCCAAGACACTATACATATCTGTATATAATTCTCCTTTACAGTTTTTGTTTTATTTTTTAATCTTTTGCCTCTTCCTAACTACTTGGCATTGGAGTGCCCAGGGCCTAGTCATTGGACTACTGTCTACTTGGGTAGTCTCTTCCAGTTCCATATCATTAAATACCACCTATCTGTTAATGGCTCCCAACTTCTCCTCTTCAGTCCAGACTTATCCCTCAATTCTTCTAGATAACTCAACTTGAATGTCTAATAGAATTTCAATTTTAAGATACCAAAACAGTTCACTTGATCTTTTCCCTGACAATACTTGCTCCTCCACCAGTCTTCCTCATTTCAGTAAATAACACCACTCTTTACTCATTTGATTGTCTTTGACTTGCCTTTTCCCTCTCAAACCCCAAATCCAGCCCACTAGCAAACTCTATTGTTTCTACCTTCAAAAATACATACATAATCACTCTACTTCTCACCACTTGGTCTAAACCATCATCTGTAGCTTGGATTACTGTAATAGCCTCAAGTGGTCTCCCTGCATCCCATTCCATTCTCCACAGAGCAGGTAGAATAATCTACTTAAAACACATCAAACTTCTGGTCAAGATGGCAGAGTAGATAAGTATTATGTTTGGCTCCTCCCAAGACCACATCAAAATTACAACTAAATTATAAAACAGCTACCCTTGAGAACCACCTGAAGACTAGCTGAACGAAACTTCCATAACTAAGGATATAAAGAAGAAGCCAGACCAAAACTGGTAGGAGGAGTGGAAATTGAAGAAAGGGGAGGTCCCATACCCATGTGTGGCAGTTAAGAATTAGGAGGGATAGCTTGACTGTAAAGGTCCTCCTTGAGGAGCAAAAGGTACTAGCCCCACACTGGGCTCCCCAACATGCCAGAGCCATCAGTGCCAGGAAGAGGATTCCCCACAACATGTGGCTATGAAAATCAATGGGGATTCCATCTGGGTGAGGTGGAGGACTTCTGGAGTCCCAGGCATTCCTTTTAAATGGTTCCCACATGAACTTATTCATTGACAGACTAACTTGCTTTGAGCTCCAGTGCTAGAGCAGCAGCTCAAACTATACTAGGGACAAATAGAGCAGAAAATAATTTTCTGGCTACAGGGCAAGGGTTGGAGGAGCAGCTCTCCCCAGGAAAAAAGTGCTGGCAGGCACCACTGTGCTTTTTCTGAGCTCCCCCACCAAATACCCATTCTGGTACCAGCCTGAACCTCTTTCAGTAGCTGTTTATCACAATCTGCCAGCATATGCCCATTCTGGGATGTTCATAAAATATCTCAAAGTGTCACAAACACCAAATAAGCAGGGGCTGGCTCAGAGTACCCTTTACCTGTTAATAAGTGGCCCCTGGTAATGGTGGCAGTTGTCCTCTGTTTGCAGCATAGCCTCTCCCCAACACCTCATGTCCAGCATAGGCAGATACAAACCACAGATAACATGGGCAGTGGCTAACCTGGGGCTACACCCAAGCCCCTCCTAAGAGGCCCCAAAACCAACACACCTGCTTTGCTGGCTTCAGATAACACCAGTACATCACCTAATTAGCTACACTAATTATAACTTGGCAGGCACCATATCCTCGCTATAGCAAATCTCACCATGTGAGTTCAGCTCCCACACTACAGTTTGTCTGGTATAATGATGGCCAGTCCTCACAGCCAGTTAGCCGAAGGGTTAATCCCCCCAATGATGTGCCAACAGCAATCAAAGCTCAACTACAACAGGAGATCACACAGAACCCACACAAGGGTCACACCTGGAGCACCTGGCTCATGTGAACAGGAAGACTGCATCACTGGGCCCCACAGGACACCTACTACATAAGGTCATGCTCCTCAGAGTGGGGTATATTGCAGATCTATCTAATATATAGAAACACACACAGGAAGGCAGCCAAACATAGAAATCAATGAAACATATCCCAAATGAAAGAACAGAACAAAACTATACAAAAATAACTAAACAAAATGGAGACAAGTAATCTACCAGAAACAGAGTTCTGAACACTGGTTATAAGGATGTTCAATAAACTTTGGAAAAGAACAGATTAAATCAGTGAGAATTTATACAAAAAGAAGCTATAACAAAGAACCAGTCATAAATGAATGATATAACTCAAATGAAGAATACATTAGGTGAAATTGACAGCAGATTAGATAAGGCATAGAATCAAATCAGCAATTTAGAAGAAAGGTAGCAGGAAACATTCAATGAGAACAGCAAAAAGAAATATAAATTTAGAAAATGAGAATAGTTTCAGTGACTTAAGGGACAATTTCCAGCATAACAACATCCACACCATAGGGCTACCAGAAGGAGAAGAGAGAGACAGCAAGGAATGAGAATCTAGTTAAAAAAATGACTGAAAACTTCCCTAACCTTCTGAAAGAAAAGGGCACACAAATCCATGAAGTGCAAAGTCCCAAACAAGATGAACCCAAACAAGCCCATACTAAAATATGTCATAATTAAAATGCCAAAAGTTAAAGACAAAGAAAGAATATTAAAAGTATCAAGAAAAAAGCAGTTAGTTACCTAAAGGAGCTCCCATAAGACTGTCAGCTGATTTCTCAACAGAAACTTTGCAGGCCAGAGAGTGACTGGCATGAAATATTCAAAATGATGAAAAACAAGGACCTACAACCAAAATTATCCTGCAAGACTAGAATTTAGAATGAAAGGAGAAAGAGCTTCCCAGACAAGAAAAAGCTAAAGGAGTTCATCACTACCAAGCCAGTATTACATGAAATGTTAAAGGGACTTGTTCAAGAAGAAGAAAAGATACAAAAAATATGAATAACAGAATGGCAATAACTACATAGCTATCAATAATTACTTTAAATCTAAATGGATTAAATGCTCTAATTAAAAGATACAGGGTGGCGGAATGGATACATAAACAAGACTCGTATCTATGCTGCCTACAAGAGACCCACTTCAGATCAAAAGAGACAAGGATTTAAAGTGAAGGGATGTAAAAAGATATTTCATGAAAATGGAAAAAAAAACTGGGATAGCAATACCTATATGAGACAAACAGATTTTTTTATTTCTTTCCACCTAACTTTATTTATTAATTTTTTTATTTTTTTAATTAATTTATTTTTTATCAATTTTTGTTACAGATGTTTCTCCTTTTTCCCTGACTGATTCCCCCCTCCTCCTCCCTCCCTGCCCTGTCCCCAGCTTTGTTGTCCATGTCCACTGTTCATGCATACATTCATATAAGTTCTGTGGTTTCTCTCTCCCCCACGCCCCCCTCTTCTGGGGATAGTCAGTCTGTACCCAACTTCCACATCTCTAGGACTACGCCATTCCTCAGACTGTTATGTTCATTATATTCCACAAATAAGTGAGGTCATATAATAATTCTCTTTCTCTGTTTGGCTTGTTTCACTTAGGATGATACTTTCCAGGTCCCTCCATGTAGTCTCAAAGGATAAGAGATCTTTCTTTCTTACAGCTGCGTAGCACTCCATTGTGTATACGTACCACAGCATTTTTATCCATTTGTCTACTGATGTACACTGGGCTGTTTCCAGATCTTAGCTATTATAAATAATGCTGCTACAAACATGGGGGTACATATATTCTTTCTGATTGGTGTTTCAGGCTTCTTAGGGTATATTCCTAGAAGTGAAATCACTGGGTCAAATGGAAGTTCAATTTTTAATTTTTTGAGGTAACACATATATTGTTTTCCATAGTGGCTGCACCAGTCTGCATTCCTACCAGCAGTGTACTAGAACCCCCTTTT